GCTGGGGTCTGGGCATGTTAGCCTGGGTCTGGGATTGTTGGGCTGGGTTCTGGGTATGTTGGGCTGGGGTCTGGGCATATTAGCCTGAGTCTGGGATTGTTGGGCTGGGGTCTGGGCATGTTAGCCTGTATCCGGGCATTGTTGGGCTGGGTCTGGGATTGTTGGGCTGGGGTTTGGGCATGTTAGCCTGGGTCTGGGATTGTTGGGCTGGGGTCTGGGTATGTTGGGCTGGGGTCTGGGAATGTTGGGCTGGGGTCTGGGCATGTTAGCCTGGGTCTGGGCATGTTGGGCTGGGGTCTGGGCATGTTAGCCTGGGTCTGGGATTGTTGGGCTGGGGTCTGGGAATGTTGGGCTGGGGTCTGGGCATGTTAGCCTGTGCCTGGGCATGTTGGGCTGGGCAGTGCACTCCGGGACCGAGCGCATCTCCCGTACCTGCTGATGGGGGACTCGGGTTCGCGGGGGGTGGGTGCGGACTGAGCCTGTCAGTGAGAGGGAAGGGACCCGGGCATTTCACCGGAGCAAGGGACAAGGCAAATTCCCAGCAGCAGGAAGCCGGGATCGCACTGTGCAGGGACTGGGACTGGGGGCCTGCCCCAGTCAGGGCTGTATACAAGGGCACGAAGAGAAAATCGCAGCGTTTAAACCCGGTCTGTATTTTTATAAAAGCACTCTTGATGGTTTAACTGTAATGATAGAGGCGGAGAGCAAATAAAGCGGCACAAAATTACCCCGTGTCCTTGTTCCCCTGAAATACACTCACCATTTCTACATGGAAATCCTGCTTCTGATCCAGTCTGTTCCCGAAGCGATCCTGATTTAACCTGTACAGATCCCCGAAAGATCCTTATTCAACCTCAACTGATCCCTGAGAGATCCTGATCCAGTCTGTGCGGATCCCGGAGAGATCCTGCTGCAATCTGTGCGGATCCCGGAGAGATCCTGCTGCAGTCTGTGCGGATCCGGGAGAGATCCTGCTGCAGTCTGTGCGGATCCCAGAGAGATCCTGCTGCAGTCTGTGTGGATCCCGGAGAGATCCTGCTGCAATCTGTGCTGAAGCGTGTTGCTGAATGACTGAGCTGTCAGTACCTGGAACAGCCTTTCTAGTGAATGCAGTTTGCTGAATAATTGCTGCCGGTCAGATGTTGCCTGAGATCCGCCCACAGAAACAGCGGATAACGCCCACAACCAGATCAGCTGGAATTTGAGACAGAGGAAGAGCAGCCGAGAAACAGTCTGAGCTGTTACTGGACACCGCCCGGTCTCACATCCTAATTTCTCATTTAACCAAATCACTCACAAACTTAATGTAAAATGGTACATGGTGTAGCCTATAAAGGCTCCTTTTCAGCAAGATTAATAAGAGCCTTTTTTAAAAATTGTACAATACGTGTTTCCTGGTTGGTTTCTCAACATACTGAACTAGAAAACCATCTTTTACCTACTAGAGAAGGAGCAAAACTTGACCTTCTCTTGGGAGATAAAGCAGGGCAGGTGACTGAGGTGGCAGTGGGAGAGCACTTTGAGCCCAGTCACCACGATTCTATTAGTTTTAGAATAATAATGGAAAAGGATAGAGTGGATTTAAAAGTTCTAAATTGGAGGAAGGCCGATTTTGACGGTATTAAAGAAAAACTTTCAAAAGTTGTTTGGGAGAGATGATTTGCCTTTTGGCTGGAAAGTGGGAGGCTTTTAAAAATGAGATAACAAGAGTCCAGAGACAGTAGGTTGCTGTTAGGATAAAGGGCAAGGCTGGATGACAAGAGAAATTGGTCCAAAAAAAGGAGGCATATGGCAGGTATAGACAGCCTGGATGGAGTGAATCCCTGGAGGAGCACAAGGGCAGTAGGAGTATACTCAAGAGGGAAATCAGGAGGACAAAAAGGGTATATGAGTAGGCTTTCCCAAATAGGGTTAAGGAAAATCCAAAGGGTTTCTACAATATATTCTATATTCTACAAATATATTAAGGGCAAAAGAGTTACTAGAGACAGAGTAGGGCACCTTAAAGATCAACAAGGCCATCTATATGTGGAACCGTAGGAGATGGGTGAGATACTAAATGAGTATTTTGCGCCAGTATTTACTGTGGAGAAGGATATGGAAGCTAGCGAACTTGGGGAAATAATTAACGATAACTTGAAAAGTGTCCATATTACAGAGGAGGTGGTGCTGGACATCTTAAAATGCATAAAGGTGGATAATTCCCTGGGGCCTGGTCAGGTGTACCCTAGAACTCTGTGGGATCTCTAGGGAAGTGATTGCTGGGCCCCTTGCTGAGATATTTGTATCATCGTTAGCTACAGGTGAGGTGCCACATGACAGGAGGTTGGCTGATGTGGTGCCACTATTTAAGAAAGGTGGTAAGAAAAAGGGGAGGCGATGGCCTAGTGGTATTATCCACCAGGATGGGAACAGTGTAGAGGGAGCTCTATTATTGCTGGACTGTTAATCCAGAGACCCAGATAATGTTCTGGGGACCTGGGTTCAAATCCCACCACAGCAAATGGTGGAATTTGAATTCAATAAAATATCTGGAATTAAGAATCTAATGATGACCATGAATCCATTGTTGATTGACAGAAAAATCCATCTGTTTCACTAAGTTCCTTGAGGGAAGCAAACTGCAATCCTTACCTCATCTGGCCTACATATAACTCCAGATCCACAATATGGGTGACTCTTACATACCCTCTGGGCAATTAGGGATGGTCAATAAATCCTGCCTAGCCATTGACGCCCTCATCCTGTAAATGAATAAAGGAAAAAAGGAAGAGCCAGGGAACTATAGCCAGGTGAGCCTGACATCAGTATTGGAGTGGATTCTAAGGGATAGGATTTACATGTATTTGGAAAGGCAAGGACTGATTAGGGATAGTCAAAATAGCTTTGTGTGGGAAATCATGCCTCACGAACTTGATGGAGTTTTTTGAAGAAGTAACAAAGGGGGCTGGTGAGGGCAGAGCGGTGGATGTGATCTATATGGACTTTAGCAAAGCCTTTGACAAGGTTCTGCATGGACTGGATAGCAAGGTTAGATCACATGGAATCCAGGGAGAGCTGGCCATTTGGATGCAAAATTGGCTTGGGGTGGCAGAGTGGCTCAGTGGTTAGCACTGCTGCCTCACAGCACCAGGGACCCGGGTTTGATTCCGCCCTCAGACACCTGTCTGTGTGGAGTTTGCACATTCTTCCCACGTCTGTATGGGCTAAGTGGTTTAGATATGTAAGTGCATGGATAGGGTAGGCTGGTGGGTCTGGGTGGGATGTTCTTCGGAGGGGCGGTGTGGACTCAATGGGCCCAATGGCCTGCTTCCACACTGTAGGGATTCTTTGATTAAGGAATCAGATACATTACTAATGTATCTGAAAGTTAACACGTTGTCCCTGCCCCTGGGAGTGTTTGATAAGGAAAGTGTAAGGTGAG